GGTTAACCAAAAGAAACAGCTCCTTTACCGGTACCCATACGGTTTTCCGCTAAAACAATAGAAAATAAATTTAAAGATTTAGCACGAACAGTATTGTGAGTTTTACTCAAAATTTCCATGGACGGTTCTTTGAATGAACCTCCCCCAAATCGCCCAGCGTATACAATTCCGTATAATGACCCGTTTAAGTACGAAATACGATCATGACATGTGACAAGCAAAAACTTGGTGGGTTCTACTAATGACTTAGATTCGCTTGTTTGCGATTGTCCTCCCGCTCCTCAAACAGACCCAAATCGGCAAATTTGGACGGAATTCACAATAAATGAAAGAAATGAAAATCCAATATTTAATTTTCATACAAAATCATTTGTCCAGATTTGGTGAATCGGATTGTTAACCCTTTCGTGGTCAAAGGGTACATTTTACCACCGTTAGAGGGTTTATCTTCGAGTACCACTCGTGTCACCAATGAAAGGGGTATTTTGCCCCTTTCATTATTTTGTGTGTGTGTGACGAGGCGGAATCGCCCTTTTTACTTGAACTATTTGCGAAAGATTTGCTGTAGTACCGTGGTTTATAAGGGGGGGGGGGGCAAAATGTGCACTTTGATGGCTATATTATACTATAGCCAGTTCAAAAGTGCTCGTTCACAAAAGGGTCAAAGATATAAGCTTTAATTACCCAACTCGGACTTGTTTCAGTTCAGAGCCGTAAGACTCGTTCCCACAGACGCTTACACTTCTGGTCCTAACGGTACCATGTTACGCTTCGTGAGAAGCTTGATCTCCATCGTCGGGCTCCTTCTCCAATGCATACAATACGCAGTATCTGCCCACGAGGCCATACTGGTGTGCGACCTGTGAACAAGCACGGTGCCCACACACTTTTCTGGGCAATCTCGGTTACCCGGGTGTGCTCCAGTAATAATTTTCCGCCACAGTGTGCAGGCCGTGCACTTTAAACCGTCCACGCGGAATCTTTAACATGATGAACAGACCCTCGAATTTGTCAGATAAATTCATTCAGAGTTGTTTGTACACTCTTACATAGTCGTCCAGTGCAAGCGAGCAGCTCAGACCAATACGTTAGAGCAGCAAAAACACTAAGCATACTCATCAGCTTCTCCACTGAGGAACCAAATGTCTTTGATGTTATGCTCGATTGCAGCGCCACTCATATTCGCTGATCCGGTCATTAAGGTATGATCCAGTATGATAGATTTACTGTGGAGTACGGTTCTGTCAGCAGTTCGGCTCAAAACACGAATATCAACTCCTTCCGAACGCTGAGTACTGAGTGTCATAGCCGATGCGCGCAAAATGGTGGACTCCAGCAGCACTCGTACTTCAACTTCTCTTTTCTTCAAACTACATAGCTTTCAGGCAATTACATCACTTGCCAAGCTGTAGTACACAGGCCATGCGCGAAAACAGGTTTTACCCATATAAATGCAAATCTGTTGTTCAACCAGCATTCCGCCCATCTCAATAGTATGAATCAGGTCGATGGCCTGATTGTGATGACTGGTGAGAGCGCGGAGGAAGAGCGGCGAACGAAGGGCGAGGAGCGAAGGCGAGAGAGGGCGACGAAGGTGACCCTCAAGAGACAGTTGTGGTGTGCCTCAAAGAAGGTAAATTGGAAAGTGATACTGAAACGGTTAGTTACTTGTTGGCTACAAGATAGTGCTAGTTAGCGGTCCCTAAGATACTCTATGCAATTAAATGCATTTCCGTATACTGGATTCAAGGTTGGCCTTGAATCGTATCTCGAAGTAGCGTAGCGTGGTAGAGAACAGCGGTTCATTTGAACCGGGCTAGAATCTCTATAGTGAATTCAAATGTAAAAGAATGGATGTCTTTGAAGTCCCACATTTTGGAAGTCTTCTCCCAAACATGGTGATTAGGCGTGTGGCTGCCTGGTCACTAAGGGAGATCAGTAGGACACGAACAAAAAATTTGACTCAGAAAACATTATAACATGGGTTTACTCTTATGATCAGGCAAAAAATTGACACTTTTCGGAGGTCAAACATGATTTGCAACTACCATTACGTTGAAAAGGGTTGAGCAGTGATGTCTACGTATAGCCAGCAATATCCCAAGTATAGCGGTGGGCTGTAGGGCCTTAGAACGCGCGTAGTTTTGAGTTACGCTCAGTAAAAAAAAACATTTTCGTAGGTAAGAGCGGTTAATGCGTAGGTAAACGCGTGAAATGGCTTTGGCTATTGACCAACTGTCGATTCCAATAGGAATCGGCGAAATGCAGCAATCCGACAACATAATGTACAGTACACGTCTGGAAACCCGCCTCGTTGGAGAACGCGTGACTTTTGCCATACGTTATATTTTGGCACCTTAAATCTGTATCAGCACATTAAAGTCTGGGAAGCACATTACATTACGGTAGCAACACAATAACCTGCGCAGTTTCTGGAGGAGCCTCGTCTCTGGTGCTGTGCACGGATTGAAGATGGATCAACCAATCAGAGCGGATTATGCGGACAGGTCACCAAGACCAAACCCGTATGATAAATTGCATTTTGGTCTACTCACTTAACTGCCACTAACTTTGAAGTCCACACCCATGTAACTACCACTCAGTTCAAAATGCCGAAGCGAATCGTGTGGACCGAGCTGGCGCTCGCCTCCGAGG